TTTTCACTCAGCTCTACAGGTGTTGCTTGGATTTCAGATTCCATTCCTGGGATTCTATATTCTATTTCTAGAATTCTAGATTGTTCTCTCAGAGTTCTACACTCCACCCCTGAGGCTCTAAATGCAGCCTAGAGATCTGGCCCTGGGACTCGGGCCCTCTATGTGGTCCCCAGCTGTCCCATTCCTAACTTGGGGTTGGGGGTGTCTTCTCTCCCCAAGGGTGGTCAGCATACATGTGGTCAAAGTAAAGAGAACTTGGTCCTCTTCTCTGTGTGTCTGTGTGTCTTTCCTGTCTTCAGTCGTTTCCTTGCCCCAGGGTTGGGACAAGGAAGGGGGCAGAAGTGGTTAGAAGACGTGAGCCAATATCAGATTTCTGGGTTTCCAAGCAGACTAGAAGTGGATTTCCTGGTGCTGTCGCTTGAGTGCCTGGTCACCCCACACCTGGATCCTCAAATAAATCAACAAAATATATTGAGTGGTTAACAGGTTTGGGGCACTGAAATTAACCATAAGATGAAAAACAACGGAAGACAAAGCTCTAGCCCTCATGGAGATTGCAGTTTAGTGAGGGGAGGGGGGCCCAGACTCCTGGGTCTGAGGGAGGAGGGACTGGGGACCTGGACTCCTGGGTCTGAGGGAGGACAGGTTATAGGACTGGACTCCTGGGTCAGAGCTAAGGGGCTGGGCTGGATTCCCAGGCCGCCCATGTGGAGGGGTGATCCAGCTGAAACATGGCCCACCCCACCCCTCACGCGCCCCGTTATCTCGCATACTGGGCAGAGGGAGGAGGGGGCAGCAGTATATTTAGCCTCTGCCCTCGCCCTTTATCAGTGTCCTCAGTGAGACTTGAGCTGCTGAGACGACGGAAGTCCCAAGAGCCTTCAAGGTCATTCCAGACGCCCCCTCACTGACCCTCCAAGAGCCTGTTGCCCCTTCTCTGCCTTTGCAACTCTTGGCTGGAGTCTCAGCATGGCAGACGAGTGAGTGAAGCTGGTAACCCGGTCTCCTGGGTCCCTGGGAGAGTGAGAGCTGCGAGGCCGGATCCCTGCCCTGAGAAGGGAGGTGGAGACAGGACTCCTGGGAATCGGAATGGGTTAAGGGTTTGGGAATCAGACTCCTGGGGCCAGAGATTAGCGAGCTGCTGGCCAGAACTCTTGGTCAGAGGGGCCTCTGGGGTCCCTTAGTTGACGGACTGGACAGGACAGTACACAGGCACAGCATTAAACCCCCTTTCCTGGTTTCTCTCCCTCCAGAAGCAGCGATGCGGTGAGAGCAGGCGTGGGCCGGACCCGCGGACCGGGGGAGGGCGCTGCAGGGAGGGCTCTGGGGTGGGAGGCTGGAGCATGCAGGGGGTCTGGGGGTCCCGGTGGTAATGCGGCTCCGTTCCCCCAACCCAGGCCGGGGACTCGCGCCCCGCGCCTGCTCCCGTCCGCCGCCGCTCCTCCGCCAACTACCGCGCCTATGCAACCGAGCCGCATGCCAAGGTGAGGGCGGGGCCCGTGCGTCGGAAGGGGCTAGCTAGGGTCCGGATTCAGACTCTAAGGTGGTTTACCCATACCTTGGGAAATAGGGGCGGGGCCAGGTCCTAAATGGAGGCGGGACTTCAGTCACGGACGGAGCCCAAAGGGATGAAGGGCTTTGGGGGCAGAGCTTCTTAAGGGTCAGGGCTCGGATTGGTCAGGCTGCCTATGGGCGGAGTTCCGTTGCCCATGGGAACTGCGATTGCTTAGGGGATCTTGGGCCCAGATTGGTGGATGGGACTGAAGGGCGTAGCCTCCCGTAGACCTAGAGGCGGGCCCAATCCTGGACCTGACTAGAGGCGGTGAGTTTTTAAGCCCCTCCCACCGCCCAACTTCGGATCCCCTTTCCTGATACTCTCTCCATCTCACCCTGGCAGAAAAAGTCTAAGATCTCCGCCTCGAGAAAACTGCAGCTGAAGGTGCGGCCGGGCCTGGAGAGGGAGCCTAGATGTACTTGGGGGCGGGGCTTGAAAATCGGGGCGGGGCTTCGGGTTGCCATTGGGCGTGGCTTTGCGGTGGGGAGCCCCGCCATAGGAGGGGCGGAGCCTTGGAATGATGGACCTTGAGGAGGCGGGTCTCTGGAAGACTAAAGACCCCGCCTGAGATTAGAGGGAGGGGCGGACAGAGGCAGCATCTCTGCTGCGTTTTCAAACCTCTCACCCGGGTTGGGTGCGGTCACGGCGTTCCCTCTGCAGACCCTGATGCTGCAGATAGCGAAGCAGGAGCTGGAGCGCGAGGCGGAGGAGCGGCGTGGAGAGAAGGGACGCGCTCTGAGCACGCGGTGCCAGCCTCTGGAGTTATCCGGGCTGGGCTTCGAGGAGCTGCAGGTACCGACCCTAATTAAGGACTCCTGCCCAGCCTGAAGTCCGAAGTTCCTCGTGCCCGATTTTGCATCCTTGGGACTTGGCTACAGTCACTATTCTTCCCCTTCTGCTCAGGATCTTGGGGTCCAATCTCCCAATCTTTACCCTCACAAGTTCAGAAACATGGCCTGCAGCTGCCTACAGTCTCAAAATCCAGAAGTCGCTTCCTCCAGCTCTAATTCTGTCAGATCCTCAGTACTCCTGGTTCTGGAGTTCTTTGTTCTCAGTTCCTCAGAAATCAGCATTAATCTACTCCTTCAGGACCAGGTTTCCAGGTCTCTCAGACCCAAGAGTCCAGGCCCCCAGCCTCCCCCCAACCACACACACCACTTTCCTTCACCAGGACTTGTGCCGACAGCTCCATGCCCGCGTGGACAAGGTGGATGAGGAGAGATATGATGTGGAGGCAAAAGTCACCAAGAACATCACGGAGGTGGGAGGCACGCGCAGTCTGGTTCCCTTCAGGGTAGGGTACAATGCCTGGGGCTGTTGTCTTAGCCTGGCCCCTTGCAGCTGCTTGTGGTTGAGGAGACCCAGGACAACTCTGTGAGTCTGGTAGGGAGGGGGCAGAAGGATGACTCCAATATGGCCAGGCAAGGCTGTTCCAGGCAGAGGGAACAGCACGTGCAAAAGCCAGGAGGTAGGACAGCAGAAAACATGTTTGTGAAAATAGGAAGGCCTGGCAATTAAGTTCGCAAATTTGTTCCAACAATGTTGCTAACCTTTCTTTTTTTTTAGATTTTTTTTTATTGGGGCATTGGGGAGGGGGAACAGCCAAGTTGTTGTCCTTCAATCTTAGTTGTGGAGGGCACAGCTAGCTCAGCTCCCAAGTCCAGTCGCCATCCAGCTGCCCGTCGGCAGCTCAGGGCAGCTCAGCTCAAGGTGCTGTGTTCAATCTTAGTTGAGGGTGGGCATAGCCCACCATACCATGCAGGAGTCAAACTCCCGAAACCTTGTTGTTAGGAGCACATGTTCTCACCAGCTGAGCCATACTGCTACCTGTTGGCAGCTCAGCCGCAGCTCAGCTCTGGCGCAGCTCACTGGCCTGTGGGAATCGAACCGGCGACCCTGTTGCTCAGAACTTGTGCTCTGAACCAACTGAGCCACTCGGCCGGCCCCCTCCCCTCTTTAATATATATCAGAGGGATTATTCATTATGAATTTGTACCAATGGGACAAACAGTTAACCAAGTTTACTATTTGGAAATGCTGAAAAGGCTGCGTGAAAAAGTTAGACGACCTGAACTTTCGCCAACAATTCATGGCTCTCTTGCATCATGAAAATGCATCAGCTCACACGGCACTGTCTGTGAGGGAGTTTTTTAGCCAGTAAACAAATAACTGTACTGGAACACCCTCCATACTCACCTGATCTGACCCTCAATGACTTCTTTCTTTACCCAAAGATAAAGGAAATATTGAAAGGAAGACTTTTCATGACATTCAGGACATCAAGGGTAATACAATGAAAGCTCTGATGGCCATTCCAGAAAAAGAGTTCCCAAATTGCTTTGAAGGGTGGACTAGGTGCTGGTGTCGGTGCATAGTTTCCCAAGGGGAGTACTTTGAAGGTGACCATAGTGATATTCAGCAATGAGATATGTAGCACTTTTTTTAGGATGAGTTCGCGAACTTAATTGTGAGGCCCCGTATATGGCTGTAGCATCAAGTGTTGGTAAATGAGCTCAGGCATGGGTGGGGAACTGTGAGATGCAGGTAGCAGGGTGGGATGTGTCAGTGGTTTTCAGAGAGATGAGGCTGGGGCAGATTGGGGAGGGCTTCCAGTTCCAGGATGTGGAGCTTAGATTTTGTTCTGAAAGTGGTGGGAGCCTCAGCTAGGGATACCCTGGATGAGGTCTTGATAGGGATAAGAAAGAAGTGGAGGGTGGAAGAGTGGGATAAGAGAGAAGTGGCCACCCACAGATTGCAGATCTGACCCAGAAGATCTTTGACCTTCGGGGCAAGTTCAAGCGGCCCACCCTGCGGAGAGTGCGGATTTCTGCGGATGCCATGATGCAGGCGCTGCTGGGAACGAGGGCTAAGGAATCCTTAGACCTGCGGGCCCACCTCAAGCAGGTGAAGAAGGAGGACACAGAGAAGGTGAGTGTGGCAAGGGCCAGGAAAGGGGATGTGTAGAGGAGAGGGTGTGGGGGCAACAATCCCAAGGCCTATCCTGAAGGCAGATAGCGCTTGGAGTTATGAGGAGCGGTATCTGGTAAGGGGTCCTCAACAGGAAGTATAGGAGGGGCACAGGAAATGCAAGGGTAAGACAGGAAGTGTATTAGGGAGAAAGGAAGTAGCAAGGAATCAAGAAGTGCATGAGGGAGACAAGGAGAAGACAGGGAGTACAACAGGAAAAGAAGTGAGCAAGTAGGCAGGAAGTGCACAAGGGAGACAGAAAGTGTATGGGGGAAACAGGAAGTGCATGGGGGAGACAGGAAGTGAACAGGGAAAGACGGAAATGTAATAGGAAGAGAAGAAGTATGCAAGGAGATAGGAACTGTAGGAGGGAGACAGGAAGTGCATGAAGGAGAGACAGGAAGTGCATGGGGCAAATTGGACAGGGTTGTTGAGGGGAAAAGAAATGTTCCAGAACCACATCCTTGGGCAGGCAGCCAGAACAGAGTGGCCCAGCAGGTTGCAGTGCAGGTGGAGGGTATTTGAGAGACTGTTGACCAGGAAGACACCCCAACCTCTGACTCCATCCCCCCAGGAAAACCGGGAGGTGGGAGACTGGCGCAAGAACATCGACGCGCTGAGTGGAATGGAAGGCCGCAAGAAAAAGTTTGAGGGCTGAGCCGGCTTTCCCACCGCCAGGGCCCTGAGGATGACCCTGAGAAATAAAGCTTCTCTCTCAGCTGGGAGTGGCTGTGTGTCTCCAATTAGGGGGCTTGGGGGTGAGAGAGAGTGGGGAACTGAGGGCCGGGCTCCCCGGAAGCCATGCCACAAGACCCAAGAAAGAGCTAGAAAGGTAGAGACATGGACACATAGCAAAAGAGAGACAGAAACGGGATTACAGACACACATACACAGATCTGGGGACACCAACAGACACCAAGGGAGAAAGATATGAAAGGACACCCACAGAAATGCAGAGACCAAAACGCACAGAGAGGGAGAGACAGGCAGTGTGAAGAACACAGACACAGACAGCTGCAGAGAGCTCGAGAAAGAGACCCAAAGAGAAAGTCCGAGAAATGCATGGAAAAAAATAGAGACAGCTGACAGCGAGAGACAGAGACAGGGAATTACAGAGACACCAAGAGGCACAGACAGATGAGGAGTCCTGCTCTCCAGGGCTGGCTCCCCGAGAGGTCAAGGTCGTGGCTTGGCAGAGAAGGGGGAAAGGGATACCAAAAAAGGTCAGTGTCAGATGGAGATGGGGGGAGGGAGCAAGGTCAAACGGGCCTGACACCCCACCCTCTCCCCTCCCGTGGCACACACCTGCTTCCCAGCTTTAGCTCCTGTTGTCATCAGGGTGGAATCCTGGTGGCAGACAAAGGGGTGGGGGTGGGGTGGGGAGACAGAAAGATGGACAGAGACAGAGACACACAGTTGGAGTCACAGAAACAAAGGAGAGACAGAAACAGAGAAAGAGAGTATAATAAACGGGCGCCCAGAGACAGAAAAGGAGACCAGAACCTGGGAAAGAAAATGTCCCGTTGGCCCCTTTCCTCAATAAGCATTCTCCAAGGATAAGAAGTGTGCTGAGCTCAACTACTTCAAAGCACTGAATGCCGAGTGCTGTAGGGTGGAAAGCATGGGGGTTCCGGGGAGGCGCCGACCGGGTGGAGGAGGGGTCTCAGAGCAGCCAGGTGGTGCCTGAATCCTGAACTTGAAGCCAGAGTGGGAGCAGGGCAGCTCTGCGCTGGGCTAGTGTTTGGGGAAAGGAATTCCCTCCCCCTCCCTCTCCCCCGGGGCGGGGCTGAGCTCTGCTATAAACCCAGGGGTGCTTCGCCACCTCCCCAGGTTTGGCCCGGGAGTTCACGCCTCTGCAAATCCAGCTTTTGGTAACGGCCCTGCGGTCTCCGGGATAGGAGGGGTGTGAAGAAGAGGTATGGTGGTAGTGGAGCACAGATATGGAGGTCTGGATATTTCGGAGGCTGAGGCCTTGGTTGACTGAGGATGGAGGGGAAAGTGTTAGGATTTGGGGGTTACAGAATCTGGGGTGCTGGGATTTGGGTGTTCCAGAATATAAAAATTTAGGACCTCAGGTCTCACAGTGAGGGAATCTCAGAAATTGGGGGTACCTGGGTTTGGGTGTCAAACAGTCTGGGTGTCAGGCGTGGATGGGGTGTCAGAGTCTGGGGTTCTACGAATTGAGGTCTCAGGATCCGCGGTCCTATGATTGGAAGTGTCAGAACTTGTAGTGTCATAATTTGGGGTATCATGAATTGGGCCTCCGAGTTTGGGCTTCCCGATTTGGGGGAGGGGCAGTCTCATGATCTTGAGGTTTCAGAATTTAGGAGGTGTCAAGACCTGGAATCTCAGTTGGGGGTCTCAGAATCTGGAGCTATGAGGACTTGCTGGTGCATCATAGATTGGGGGTCTCAGGATCTGTGGGCAGTGGGATTTTGGGGGGACTCAATGTGAGCACGTTGGGGCCTGGGGGATGTCAGTGATTGGGGACGGTCTAAGTATTTAGGGGTCAGGATGAGGTCTCTGGACCTCCATGCTCCTGCTCCCTCCCTGGCTGTGAGTGAAGGTGAAAGGAGGAGACAGGTGGGAAGATAACCAGCCAAAGGGAAGGCCATGGTATCTGGAGGTGGAAGAAGGGAACAAGGGTGACTAATTCTACAAGAAGCCCCTCCCCTCGAATCCCATTTTAGAAGATGTCCTCTGTTTCTCTGTGTATGACATCCCCCCCAAAATAGCCCCTGGGGGTGGGGCACTATTGTCTTCAGGCCACTGTCCTTCCAAATATATTCTCCTAATCCTGACTCAGATCGGGTTCACAGGGACCTATCATAAGACAAAAGAGGACAGCTGGGGGTGGGGGTGGGGTGGGGTGGGTGAGCTACCGCTTTGGGCCTGTGCCAGGACCACACCTCCTGAAGTCTATTCCCCAGGGGTTTAGTCGGCCTCCAGTCCCTCCTCCCTCAGACCCCGGAGTCCAGACTCCCAGCCTCTCATCCTTCAAGACCCCAACCCACTCCGCCTGTTCTCTGCGGTTCTTAGGTTCCCCCAGGATGTCGGACACCGAAGAACAGGAATATGAGGAGTGAGTGATGCTGGTGGGAGGGCTGGGGCCTGGAGAAATGGAGACACTCTTCCCCTTCCAACCGTGTAACTCTCCTCCCTCTTTCCTTTGCATCCTCGTCCCTAGGGAGCAGCCTGAAGGTGAGTGGGGCTTGCTCTGGCCTGGGGCGTTTGGGGACACCACGTGGATCACAGCCCACGCGAGGCGAGAGGAGTCGTGGCAGCCTCCCGGGAGGGGGCTTGTGTAGAGTGGCGGGTGAGCTCTCCTCGCGCCGAATTTCAGCCTCCTGAGTTTTCCAGTTCCATCTGCACAGCCAGTGGGAAAAGCTCACTGTTCCTGTTTGCAGCTGAGACTCAGGGTTCCCCCGGCCGAGCTGAGACTCGAACCGGATCACTGCCCCCACTCCCCTGCCCCCAGACCCCACACCCTACTGGGCTCCTAAAGCCCTCTCTTCTCTGCCTCTACCCCTTCCAGAAGAGGAGGCTGCTGAGGAGGAGGAGGAAGGTGAGGCCCTGGACTCCGCAGGTCTGGAGCTGGACGCGGGGGTCGGGCCAGGGGCTTGGTGGGGACACTTGTCCAGGGGTGGAGGCTGGGGTGGAGTTACGGGGACTCCCGATGGCCTCGGCTTCAGTTCCTTTAACAGCTTCTTCCCTCTCTCCTCTCTCTCCCTTCCCGCATCTGGGTGTGGCCGCTCTCCCCCACCTCTGCTCCCCAAATCCTCGCTTTTCCCCTGCCCCCTCCCCAGCCCCCGAGGAGCCGGAGCCGGTGGCAGAGCGAGGTAACCACGGCTGCTTCGCTTCCCGAGAACGATTTCGGGGGCCCGGGGGACTCCCGATATCTTCGGGACCCTGACCTCAACGAAGACTCCCTCCCGTCCCCATAACCCGCTCCAGGCCCGGTCCTTTAAGCCTCGGAGAGCTCGCGCGCCCTCTGGTGGACACGAAGGGAAATCGCCTCTGCGGCTTTAACCTTTTCCCTTCCTTCTTAAAGGGACCGACACCCAAGCCTTCTTCTCCAGCCTGGAGGAATACTTTTAGAAGGGTTGGATGTTTGCGGAGAGGCACCCCTGCCCCCATCTTCGCTCCCAATCCTGTCTGTTATTTTTCTCCTCCATATACATTCAAATGTTAAGACCTGGATTGTAGAAAGGGCTAGCACTGGGAGTTTGGATTCCTATGTCCCCAAGGAGGAGGGGCTGAGGACACACAACTCCTGGGTCGCTGAATGAAAAGAGAGTTTGGGGTCCCCCTGTACTGCTAGGTTTTGATGGAGGATGGCAGGACCTCTGGGTATGTAGAAGGAGGAAGTTCTTGGGTTTGGACCCCTGGGTTCCCAGAAAAATGGAAGGGGATGTTCCCCACACCAGTTCTGAATGTATATTTGATGCGTGTGACCCTATTCCTCTTTTACGGCCACCCTAATTTTCCTTCTCCCGTTTTCTTCCCCCATGCCCTTCCCAACCCCCAGAGCAGCAGGAGGGGGGAACTGGGCTTCTGGGGGCCCAGCAGAGGCTTGGAGGATTCCCTCCTCTGGGTGTGTTAGGCCCACCCTCATTAACCAATTGTCTCTTTGTATCCCCTCACCAGAAGAGGAGCGCCCCAAACCAAGGTGAGATCCTAAGGGGTATGGAGGGGGGGCATCCCAATCATGTCTTCCTAATTATGTTCCTCAACTCCAGAGATAGGGTGTGAGGAAGGCAGAGGAGGAGAGTGGGGATATTCAAACAGAGGGAAGGACAGTCAATGATTCCTTCTTTCAGCAAACGTGTGGAGAACTTCCCATTGTGTTCCCAGGGTTTTCCCAGCAGCCCCTGACTGCCCTGTTGGTGAAAAAGACCCATATACAGCAATGGTAGCTAGGATATCAGAGTAACACAGACCAGGGGCCTACGTTTGCCCTAGGCAATCAAGGAAGCTTCCCAGGGGAGGTGAAGTTCATCTAGCCGAAGGAGGTAGAAGGGAAATTGCAGACAAGGAAGTGGTGTGGTACACATAAGATCCCGCAGCTGCATCTAGGCCAGTTTTTCAAGGAGCAGACATAGACACAGGTCATTCTGATAGGAGGACCCTAAACTAGGGGAGGTTGTGAGATCTCACAGAGAGGAGCCGGTCCTGGAGGAGGTGACCTTGGGGCCAAAGCTTGGACATGCAAGGAGGCAGCAATCTGAGCATGAGAAAAAACTTAAAAGCAGAAATTCTCTGAGCCTGTGTGGGCAGTGTGCGAATTTCAGTGTAGAATGCAAGAAGGGGAGAGGCCATGAAGGCCAGGGCATTGGTGGGCCATGGAAGGGTTTTGAGCAGAGGAGGCATAGGGTCAGATCTGGGTGAGAGAGCACAGATGTGCCACAGGGTCAGGGAAGGCTTGTTGGAGGAGGAAAGCCCTCTTGGGGGAATGAAGTATATTGGGGAGGGCATCGCAAACAGAGGGAACAGCATGCACAAAGGCCCTGGGGCACGAGGACACAGGACATGGCTAGGGAACTGTGATATGTGTGAGGAGAGGTGATGCTGGAGAAGTTGGCTGGGGCTTAGGAGAGCCTGGACTACAGAATCAAAGGGCAAAAATCTTTAAAGGGCTCACACGGGGGACAAGGAGACAGAGATGAAACAGCCAGAGAAGTAAGAGGCAACTCAGAATCCAAAGAGAGAGGGCTGACCATACCCAATACAAATATAATGCTAGCCACGTAATGCTACCATGTAATGGTACACCTTTTACGAGCTCATGTTAAACAGTAAAACAAAATACATAGGATTAAGCTTATATTTTATTCAACCCATGATATCTCAAATTTCATCATTTTAACAGGTAATTAACATGACATGTTAAATATTTTAGATTATTTTGTTCGTACCAAGTCTTCGAATTTAGGTGTGTTTCACTGATAGCCCCTCTCGATTGGGACAAGCTACATCTCAGGTGCTCAGAACCATGCAGGGTTGGTGACCACCATGCTAGACAGCATAGCTGGGGGTGTCAGAGAGGTCACACTGCTCACAGTCTTTCTCCTCTTCTGTCCACTCAGCCGTCCTGTACCTCCATTGATCCCCCCAAAGATCCCAGAAGGGGAACGTGTGGACTTCGATGTAAGTAACACACATCCCACCCCCAGGCACAGCTGCTACCTCTTAGGGTGCCTTCGTGCAAATTAGGAAAAGGGGTTCCATTCTGACTCCTCTTGGAATTCTGTCCTGACAGCTAAGTAGTGTCAGAACACGGTGCTTTGCTGCCATCTGCTGGAAATTTTGTAAACTGTCAAACCTATCGTTTCCTGCTGGAAAGGGCCCGCTCCTGACTCTCGGAGGCGCTGCTGAGAATGATTGGATTCCCTTCCTCTGTCCTGCAGGACATCCATCGAAAGCGCATGGAAAAAGATCTGCTGGAGCTGCAGACGCTCATTGACGTGCACTTTGAGCAGCGCAAGAAAGAGGAAGAGGAGCTCATTGCGCTGAAAGACCGCATTGTGAGTAGAGGGAGGTGGGGCTCCCCAAATCCTTCTCTCAGTCCATGCCATCATTTGGGTCTTGGGTGATAACAGATTCCCGTCCAGTACAGACCTGAGGCTGAAACTGAGTGTACCCAGGTGTGGCCACACTCAAACTTGTGCATCTCCACTCTTGACTTCCTCTGGGGAGGGTGACAAGTGGGTGGTGGTCCCTGCACCCCCTCATTCGTCTCCCTGCCCCAGGAGCGGCGCCGGGCGGAGAGAGCTGAACAACAGCGCTTCAGAACGGAGAAGGAACGGGAGCGACAGGCCAAGCTGGCGGTGGGTACCTCCTTCCCCCGGGAACCTGAATGTGACTGCTTCAGCTGGATGCTCCGTTTTCCATTCATGATATTCTCTGTGATCTCGAGAAAGTCCTCATGTTTTATTATTCAAGGCTCTTTCTGTTGGAAGGGACAGAAAGCCCAACCCAAACTGGATTTAGTGGACAGAGAATTTTATTAGCTAATATAGCTCAGAAGTCTAGGGTGTGACTTGCTTCAGGCTTGGCTGGATCAAGGGACTCAATATCACAAAAACTTAGCTTTTCTCTTCCTACCCCTCATTCCATCTTTCTGTGGACAGTGGGGTGGCTGACTCATCCCGGTTAGTGTGGGGCTGTCCTGGTCCAAGCCCTAACAATCCTGTATCCTGTCTGTCCAGGCAAACTGGAATTGCAGGTGGGTCCAATGTCCTTATAAGAGGGAGGCAGGAGGGTCAGTCAGGTATTTGAAGATGGAAAAAGGGCATACTTGCCAACGGGTGCTGGTGGCCCCTAGAAGCTGAAGGCAGGAGGCTAGAGGCTCCAGGAAGAACCAGCCCTCCTCACACCTTGGTTTTAACCCAGTGAGAGCTGTGTCAGACTTCTGACCTGGACAACTGTAAGATAATAAATTTCTGTTCTTTTAAGCCACTAAGTTTGCAAATTACTAACTCAGGTGGGGAATGCTGGACATGCAAAAACCATTAAGTCCACCTCACCAGCCCTTCCAGTGGGGAAGGGGCTTGGTCTGGACAAGCCACTCTTTCTTGAACATGCAGTGCACACATTCTGGTTGTGGTAACGCCTTTGATAGACATTCTAGAACGCTTCCCTCAAGCTCAGGGCCATCAGCCTCTTTAGTGCCCCAAACCCTCCACTGCCATCACCAGTTACCCTCCTTGACCCTCTGAGGACAGTCATTCTCATCTCATGAGACTAAGGGAGACTAAGGCCCAGAGAGGGTGAGTATCTGCACTGAGGTCACATAGCAAGTTCCCCACTGGCCATTTCAGGCTGGATGGATGCAGGAAAAGTAAGCACAATCTGCTCTCATTTTAATTTTTGCTGGGGGGGTCCTAAGGCCCAGAGAGGAGGGGGTACTGGCAGGCCGTGACACAGACAGGCCTGGAAGGGCCAGAGGGGAATGTCTGCATCTCTGCCTGTTCCCTACTGACTTTGTCTCTCATTATTGGGTCTGAGCCCCACCCCCACATCCCCATCTCAGGTCCCTCCCCATCAGTGAGGGTTTAACCCCTTTCTTCTACAGGAGGAGAAGATGAGGAAGGAGGAGGAAGAGGCCAAGAAGCGGGCTGAGGATGACGCCAAAAAGAAGAAGGTTCTATCCAACATGGGAGCCCATTTTGGGGGTTACCTGGTCAAGGTGAGTTCAGCCTGCTGGGGCTCAAGGTCTAGGTTCCCAGGGAGGAGGCAACTAAAGGGCAGACTTCTGGTTCCTGAGGGAGGAGAGACTGGACTCCTGGGCCTGGGGGAGGAGGGGCTGAGGTCTTAGATGCCTAGGGTCCTGGGGGAGATGGTGGCCAGGAGCACAGACCCCCTGACATGGGGAGCCCTCTGGAGGATCTATCCCCCAGGTCAAGATGTCCCCTTTCCAATCCTCAGGCAGAACAAAAGCGGGGTAAGCGCCAGACAGGGCGGGAGATGAAGGTGCGCATCCTGTCTGAACGTAAAAAGCCTCTGAACATTGACCACCTGGGAGAGGACCAGCTCCGGTAGGTGGGGGAGGGGCCTGAGTGTGACACAGGGAGATAAAGGGACCCTCACCCAGATCCGGGCCAGCACAGCCCTGGTGTGAGTGTCTCTCCCTCTCTGAGCTCTTGTAGCCTCCTCTGTGAAACCTGTCACTGATATAGGACCCACTTTTTGTGGGTGCCAAGTCCTGTGAGTTTGGGAGGTAATGTGGTGGGAAGCCCGACAACACAGCTCACCAAAATTGAGGAGATGAAGTTGACTTAATTGTGTTATTTAACTTCTCTGGGCCTCGCTTTCCTCATTGGTAAAAATGAGAATATGACAAGAAAATCTACCTCACAGAGCTGTGAAAGGCCAGTCACATCATCATCACCATCATCA